TTGTTGTAATGTTACAATTACTTTTCCATTAAGAAGTTGTTACAGTGAAAACATAGGGCTAGACTTGCAAACACTGAAAATTATTACAATAGCCTACGTTTTCTCAATGCAACTTTATCCGAAAAAGAATATATATATATATCTTTTTTACATTATGTGTAAAGAAACTATATGCAGAGACTGAACAACTTTTCATACCCCGTGACTTGCTGTGAGTCGCCTGGAAATCCGTCAGTTCCGCAAGTTTACTAGTATTCTGCCAGCAGCACAAACGATTACCTCAGTTTTATTTTGTAATGTGAAACCTTCAAAATAAAAGCCGGCATTTCAAAACATTGCAATGAGGTTACATAATTCAAAAATATATTAAATTTTAATCAATGGCCACTTTTATCGTGCCAACAATAAAGGCAATTAGTAATTTATGTCTCAGCTAAAGTGGGGTTGAAAATACTCAGTAGAGTCTCTACTAACCAAATATGTGGTCCTCTGTAGCGCAGCTGGTAGAGCACTGCGCTGGTAACGCCAAGGTAGTGGGTTCGATCCCCAGGACCACCCATACACAAAAATGCATGCACGCATGACTGTAAGTCCCTTTGGATAAAAGCGTCTGCTAAATGGCATATTATTATTATGGTTAGTTTTGGAAGGAGACTGTGTTATAGACATATGCATTTAGTCCTGCATGTTATATTAATTCCAAAACAATAAATTAATGTACTGATGTTGTGTTGAAAATCAGTTGGAAAGACAAAACACCTTAACACTTTTTTGTTGCTTACCTTGTTTGCTTCCAGCGTGAAATAAAATGCCTTTCCAAACTAGACTTTCAAGCACTCTTGACCTTGCCCTGATGGAGGTGCCAAATACCGATTCTTAGCAGTTGATTGGTCGAGAAACCAACTGCTTCAAATACATTGATGGACAGGTTTACCTGTTAACAACCTAGATTAATTTAATGGTGATGGTAATGGTGGCACCTTCACACATTTAAATCCGCCCAAGGCCAGCCTTGACATAAGCCAAAATATGCGTCAATTTAATCGCTTGGCCTAGCAAATAAGATATTTTTGACTCAGTATCCTAGTAAAATCATGTTGCTACAGGTTTATATCACTCCAATTATGCATAGTCTTCCAACGATTTTCTTAAACCCACCTTGGTCGCAGTTAATCCAAAGATTCACCCTCTTGGACTTGGGTTCTGGACTGATTCATGGATCATAGCCCATCTCTCCCAATTGTAATTTGTGAGAAAATACAAATGATTGTTAATTGGCCTTATTAGAAGTCCTGTCTTATTTACTTATTATTTTTAAGCAGCAATACTCTGTCACAATGGCATGAGACATTTTAAACTGTGACACAGTCCCCCTCAAAAATGAACCATATTTGGTTAGTGGAGATCTGACTGAGTATTTCCCACCCCAGTTTAAATGAGACAGGTAGTCAAGTTATTTCACTATAACCCAATAAATATCCCATATATGTATTGTGTATTGTATTGCAGTGAATGGAGTGGGTGGAGTAAGGAGTCGCCAGCATTCTGTATTAAACCTGTTGCCCAGCACAAGAGACCAATTTAAGTTTTGGAGACTCTATTGAGTAATTCCAATAACACTCATTTGTATTTTATTAAAAGTGTATTTCTTCAAATACAGCCTCCACAATAGTTTTGAACATACCAGTATTTGTGTAAACTTTCTAAAGAAATGCTAATATAAAACTAAAATACATCAAATTAACAATATGTATTTTTAAAGGTTGTTGCAATACTTTGTAAAACAGTTGTACTGCACTACAGTCCAAAATAAATATATATATATAGATATTTTCCAAAGTTTAGCATGTCTTTGCAGGGGGACTCTTATTTTGAAGAATAAATAAATCTCTGCTCTCCCTTGCGCCAGCATAATATCCTGCCTTTCCCTTTCCCCTGCTGCAACCTGGATTCAGTAGTAGATGTAACATAGTATACGAGATCCTGGACACTCAAATTAGTATGGTATTTACATTTAGTGTGGTATGTCTTAATTTGTGGATGTCCATTATCCATTTCGTATGATATGTTCTGAATTACAATTTGTATGATATGTTCCGAATTACAATTCATACAATATGTTACGAATTGCAATTCGTACAATATGTTATGAATTTGCCATACGCATGATATATTACAAATTCCAATTTGTTGTTGATAACGTTAGCTAGGTGGATAGGTGCCTAACGCTAACGTTAGCTAAGTACTAACGTTAGCTAGGCTAGAGGTTAGGGTTAGGGGTTAAGGTTAAGGTTAGAGCTGAGGTTAGGGTTAATGTTAAATCAAATCAAATCAAATTTTATTTGTCACATACACGTGTTTAGCAGATGTTATAGCGGGTGTAGCGAAATGCTTGTTAAGGTTAGAGTTAGGGTTAGGATATAGGTTAAAACAGGGATCATCAACTAGATACATCTGGTGGCTGATTATTTCTTGAGCGGATGGTCAGGGGGCCGGAACGTTATTACAAATAATTAGTAAACTGCAAATTGAACACAATAAGCCCAAACAGATATAATATTTGACTAAAACATAATAATTTCAAACCTTGCTTATATTTGTATACAATCACATATATCTCTCTATGCGTGGGAATACTTTGAAACAGATTTCCTGAATTAAAATCAGTTGGCGCTGATTTTTACAGTCTTTGGTGGGCAGCCAGTTGGGGAACTCTGGGTTAAAGGGATTTATGGTTAGGGTTAGGGGTTTAGCTAAGCAAGGCGTTAGGGTTAGGGTTTAAGGTTAAGGTTAAGTTTAGGGTTAGGAGTTAGGTAAAAGGGTTAAGGTTAGTGTTAGGGGAAGGTTTAGCTAACATGCTAATTAGTTGCAAAGTAGCTAAAAAGTAGTAAGTAATTGCAAAGTTGCTAATTAGCTGAAATGCTAAGGTTGTCCGTGATGAGAGTCGAACACGCAAACTTTGGGTTGCTAGACGTTCATGTTACTTGCCTTAAGTAACCTTCTGTCGCATGTAACCATACCAAATGTAACATATCATCGGCCCCTACTAATTTGAGTGTCCCGGATTTTCGTTTACTATGTTACATATAGTATATGAGACCAGGCTGCCCAATAACACCAGGAAGGGATTGAACTTTAGTCCCAACAGGGGCCTTCTGTGTAATGGTTATAAAAGTTGACTTTTCACCTGGACTTGGACTGGAAATGTCAGAAACCTGTACTGCTATATAGGTCGTTGTTACAAGCGCCCCATATGCCATTGTAGCCTACTGCTATTCCCAATTTAGGCTAGCCTATTTGTTTGGACTTATTTTCAAACGGTTTGTGGAAGAACTACTGTATCTAGTCTCCATAATTAATATTCTCTGCTTCATTACACATTGTATTACATGCATTAGTTAAATAAAGGTTAAATAAAAAATAAATACAATAAAATTAGTCTGTTAGAACCACAGGAGGCTGCTGAGGGGAGAACAGCTCATAATAATGGCTGGAACGGCGCAAATGGAATGGCATCAAACACCTGGAAACCATGTGTTTGATGTATTTGACACCATTCCACGGATTCCGCTCCAGTCATTACCACGAGCCCGTTCTCCCCAATTAAGGTACCACCAACCTCCTGTGGTTAGAACTATCCAAACTTTACTCAGTAAGGTCACTCCCATAGAATTCTATGGTCACTCCAACTAAGGCCAACTTTGAGCTCGTTGATGCGCTGTGCGGAATAGCCTGGGGACGAGGTTAGTGAATAAATTGTCTTTTGTCGTCCCCCAGTGGCCAAAATATAAAGCAGGCACAGTCTAGATGTCAAGTGAAGGACTCAAACTTTTGCTAGTCCGATTTTTTATTGAAACAAAAGTATAAACGTTATATAAAAGTATAAAACAATAAGACATTCAACAGGCTTAAGTAATATTTTGTTTACACAACATATTTATAAAATAAGCCTAGAGTAAAACAATGAAATATATTATTGGTGCAAAATAAGCAAAACCGTTTGGTAAATCAAACACAAAAATATCTAACAGATATTGTTTCATCAGTATGCCTCTTTGCATTATATACAGAAATTGCAATCACAAAACCACAGATACACAACAACAACAAAATCACTCACTGTCTTGCTCCTTACCATAACTGATCAGTTGGCTATAACAGCTCTCTTTAGAGGCTAAAGGTCATGCAACCTATTACTATATTTAAAAGCAAAATGCTCTATGCACATCACACTAAATTCGACCATACAGCAAATGTTATAAAAAATCTTTCCCTGCTTCTTCTGTCTGTTGTGAGCTCAAATGTGAGAAACCGCTGAGCGATGGCCGAGACGTCAAACCCCATTTACCAGTGTGTGTGTGTGTGTACAGTATGTACAGTATGTCTGTGTGTGTGTGTGTGTGTGTGTGTGTGTGACTGTGTGTGCAGTTTGTGTGTGTGTTTGTCTGTGTGTGTGTGTGTGTTTGTCTGTCTGTGTGTGTGTGTGTGTGTGTGTATGTGTTTGTCTGTGTGTGTATGTGTGTGTGTGTGAGAGAGAGAGAGAGAGAAACGGCTGAGTGATGGCCGAGACGTCTAACCACATGTACGTTGTTCACAGTAAACAACAGGAAACCAGGGCGATAACCAGTGAGTTTAAGATTCACACACTACATTTCCCACTGGGGCAATAAGTGTGTGATCGTATTGATTGACAGCTAACTTCAGGAGGTCAGGGTTATTCACCCAATGTCAACAATGCATTATTCCTCCCAACACACATGTACGCACGCACACACACAGACACACAGACAAACACAGCAACACAACACACCCTCCCTTCATAAACCTCCTCGCTGAAGGGTTAGTCTCTGGTTTCCTCAGTTTCCTTCTCTGTCCCTGAGTCTGGTTCCAGTTCCTCCCTCTGTGCAGGAAAGGTTGGTGGGAAGTTGTGTTCTAGTTCTAGGTGTTCCAGGTTCCAGGGCTAGTGGATGAATAGGTTCAGGCTCAGTCTGTGGTTCCACGGTTCCTTCCAGGGTTGGTTGAGGATCTTGTTCTTGTTCTAGATTAGGTTCTACTTCCGGTTCTTCTGGTTCCTCTCTCTGTGATGCCCGATGTTCCCCCAGAAGAAAATAGACCTGATGATGATGATGACTTTATCAAATACTCTACAGCATGTGTGTGATTTCTGTGTCATTTGTGCATGGCCCACAGGCTTTGTATTCACGTTGTATAATCTTTTTCAATTTCTTTGTTTTCAATAGACTGTTTTGTAAGGTTAGGTTTCCTCGTGCATAGACTTATTAATAAAAAACCTATAGAAAGGAAGATATACCTTTTGTGGCCCTAGTTCTGCCCCTTGTTGTGGCCATTGCTGCTGTGGTCCCTGCTTTGTTGTGGGGCCCCAGGCCCTAGCCGACCCCTGGTAGGCCTTCCACAGCCGTCCATACAGCAGGTCCCGCTTGATCTTAGTGTACAGCTTAGAGGGGTCAAAACCCTGGAGCTGGGGGTGAGGGGTTGAGGGAAGGGTGGGTTGATGGGGTGGCTCCTCTGTGACCCCCTGGATGGTAAAGAGATAGAGGGGGTGGGGCAAGAGAGACTAGTATGTTGTTTTGAAAATAATTGGTAACTAATGTTGTAATGTTGATTTTTTTTAGTTGTCCTTTTATCATATTCTATCATGTACATTTCATGTAAATGTAAACACTATAAAAATAATTGGTAACTAAATTATACTGTATGTAATGTTGCTTGTAACAGTTCTTGGATCAGTTGGCTCCATAATGTAGGCCTAATCATGTTCTATCATGTAAATATAATTTCAATGTAAAGAGGACTGTAATAGAAGTGTAATGAAAGCAAATCTCTCGACCGTACAACCCTCTCGAATAAAATGTGAGAAACGGCTGAGCGATGGCCGAGATGTCAAACCACATTTACCAGTGTGTGTGTATGTGTATGTGTGTGTGTGTGTGTGTGCGTGCGCATTTGAGTGTGTGTGTGTGTGTGAGAGAGAGAGAGAAACGGCTGAGCGATGGCCGAGACGTCTAACCACATGTACGTCATTCACAGTGAACAACAGGAAACCATGGCGATAACCATGCTGACGGGGCCCTGTGGGTTTTCATGGTAACGTAGGTCACTATAGTTACAGAGGTCACTCTAGCCATAGAGAGAGGCAATGCTTTATCTCTATGACTCTAGAAAGGCTTGTGATTAGGGTGCCTACATTAGATGAAGTTAGGCCAATTTTGGGGTACTTTAGATTACAGTGGTCCAAGGTAGCCTGCTTTCAGTTACACCAATGACGTTTTCTGTGGGCTTTAGGTTACAATTACCTTGCAATACTTAATTTCTAAATAAAGATGTCCTTTTCCATTGTGTCAAAAAGGTATGTAGCGGATGTTGAGCTGAAAGAGTAGCTGACAGGATAACTTTACCTCTGAGTCTGTGTGTTGATCTGTCAGATAAGTCTCCACCTCGAATACTCGCCTCCTGGAAAAATATATATCAGCAGATAAGTATTGGTGTTACAGTCAGAGAGCTGATGACTTTTGGTGTTATAGTCAGTGCTACTGGAAACTTTACTGAGAGAGAGAGAGAGAGGCCTGTATTTCCATGTGAGTGTGAGAGAAATACAAAGCGAAAAGAAAGACAGAGAGGAAGATAAATAAAATAAAATAAAATTGTATTTTGTCACATGCGCCGAATACAACAGGTGTAGTAGACCTTAGCGTGAAATGCTTACTTACAAGCCCTTAACCAACAATGCAGTTCAAGAAATAGAGTCAAGAAAATATTTACTAAATAAGCTAAAGTAAAAAATTAATGAAAAGTAACACAATAAAATAACAATAATGAGGCTATATACAGGGGGTACCGGTACCGAGTCAATGTGCGGGGCTACAGGTTAGTCGAGGTAATTTGTACATGTAGGTAGGGGTAAACTGACTATGCATAGATAATAAACAGTGAGTCAATGTGCGGGGGGGGGGGGGGGGGGGGTCAATGTAAATAGTCCGGGTGGCCATTTGATTTGTTCAGCAGCCATATGGCTTGGGGGTAGAAGCTATTAAGGAGCCTTTTGGACCTAGACTTGGCGCTCCGGTACCGCTTGCCGTGCGGTAGCAGAGAGAACAGTCTATGACTTGGGTGACTGGAGGCATTGACAATTTGTTGGCCCTTCCTCTGACACCGCCTAGTATATAGGTACTGGATGGCTGGACGCTTGGCCCCAGTGATGTACTGGGCCGTACGCACTACCCTCTGTAGCGCCTTGCGGTCGGAGGCCGAGCAGTTGCCATACCAGGCGGTGATGCAACCGGTCAGGATGCTCTCGCTGGTGCAGCTGTATAACTTTTTAAAGATCTGAGGACCCATGCCAAATCTTTTCAGTCTCCTAAGGGGGAAAAGGTGTTGTCGTGCCCTCTTCACGACTGTCTTGGTTTGTTTGGATAAATGATAAAGAGAAACAAAAGGGAGAGAGATACAGAGATGAATGACATTGATAGACAAAGAGAGACATATATATATATATATATATATATATATATATATATATATATATATATATATCAGAAATACAGTGTAGACATTGTTAATGTTGTAAATGGCTATTGTTGCTGGAAACTGCTGATTTTTTATGGAATATCTACATAGGCGTACAGAGGCTCATTATCAGCAACCATCAGTCCTGTGTTCCAATGGCACGTTGTGTTTGCTAATCCAGGTTTATCATTTTAAAATGCTAATTGATCATTAGAAAACCCTTTTGCAATTATGTTAGCACAGCTGAAAACTGTTGTGCTGATTAAAGAAGCAATAAAACTGGCCTTCTTGAGACTAGTTGAGTATCTGGAGCATCAGAAATTTTGGGTTCGATTACAGGCTCAAAATGGCCAGAAACAAATAACTTTCTTCTGAAACTCGTCAGTCTATTCTTGTTCTGAGAAATGAAGGCTATTTCATGCGAGAAATTGCCAAGAAACTGAAGATCTCGTACAACACTGTGTACTACTCCCTTCACAGAACAGTGCAAACTGGCTCTAACCAGAATAGAAAGAGGAGTGGGAGGCCCCGGTGTACAACTGAGCAAGAGGACAAATACATTAGAGTGTCTAGTTTGAGAAACAGACACCTCACAGATCCTCAACTGGCAGCTTCATTAAATAGTACCCGCAAAACACCAGTCTCAACATCAACAGTGAAGAGGTGACTCCGGGATGCTGACCTTCTAGGCAGAGTTGCAAAGAAAAAGCCATATCTCAGACTGGCCAATAAAAATAAAAGATTAAGATGGGCAGTCTGAGATATGGCTTTTTCTTTGCAACTTGAGTTAATAAAGCCGCATACAAACATGGTCTATTTTTTGCTTTCTTGAGTAAGGCAGCTCCAAAATGCAGGTGTTTCAGCCTAGCTCAGTGCTTTCTGTGGTGGAGGGGCAGCCAGTGGTAACATTGCTAAGGTGCCACTGGAGCCCCGGGTTCGATCCCAGGCTGTGTCACAGCCGGCTGTGACTCATGGGTCTCCCAGTCCATGAGGCAGCACACAATGGGCCCAGCATCGTCCGGGTTAGGTGAGGGTTTGGCTAGCCGGGACGTCCTTGTCTCATCGTGCTCTAGCGACTCCTTGTGGCGGGCCGGGCAAGCTGATTTCGGTCGTCAGTTCGACAGTGTTTCCTCTGACACATGCGGCTGGCTTCCGGCTTAAGCGAGCAGTGTGTCAAGAAGCAGTGCGGCTTGGCTCTCAACCTTCGCTGAGTCCGTAGGGGAGTTGCAGCGATGAGACAAGATCTTAACTACCAATTGGATATCACGAAAAGGGTGTAACGCCATGGGCCAGAAAGGTTTGAATACACTGGCCATGCTGTCAATCAAGCATGACTTCTGCCGCGTTCAAAACAACTGGAAACTCGGAACTGGGAAATCACAGACTTCACTGAGTTCAAGACAACTGGGAATACGGAAAATTATTTTTGAATGGTCATCCAACTCGGAATTCCAAGTCGGGATTTCGGGCCTCTTTCTAGAGCCCACAAGAAGGACCGTCGCACCACCTTCCTGTTCAAGTGAGCACAGCACAACAAGGTGAGTCCAAAAATGTATTGTATGCTGCTGCATAAATGATGTAATATGCCAGGGAGATATGTATACTGTAGCTAAGAAAGTAATACTAAGTGTATGTTGTGTAGTAAGCTGTTAGTAGCCCATGTGCCTCACCCTAATAATTTGGTCCCTTTCCCCCTCATAACTTAGCTTACTGTTCTGACTTGGTGGTGCACATGTAGCCTATAGCCTGTTTTAGAGAAATGTCATCATCAAATATTGTAAGAGCTTTCATTGTCTGCTTATATGCCCCCTTTATTTATCCTACGGTTCTGACTTGGTGTACATGGAGAATACTGTAAGAACGGCCCATGTTCTGAATTCTGTCGCTGTACATTTCAAAAGTGCTGAACAAATACTTATATTGACTACATCCGTCCTAGCTCGCTCATTATGGATTGCCTCTTAACCGCTCGTCGTTCCCTTATGTCATAGTTTGTACATCTCAATTGTCAGTAGAAACCACATTTGTTTAAGCAAGTCAGCCATATCAGCTATGTTTTAAAAAAAGGCAGTAAATGAGACTGAATGAACTGTTTCGCTGCCAGACAAGGCTCCGCTGATAGCCAGGTGTAGCGGTGGTAAGGATTCACTCCATAGTGCTGAAATGAAAGCTCTGCTGTTGTGACAGCTTTATGTAGGCCCTAACCGTTTGTGGGCCCCGTTTGTCACCGTTATAGTGCAATGACTGTATTGTTTAGTGTTGTGTAGTGGCTTTGCTGGCATGCATAAAAACATTTTTCTGTTTTGTTTGCCCCACCAAGATTTACATGCTAAAATTGCCACTGCACTCAGTGTATATATATATATAGAGAGAGAGAGAGAGTGAGAGTGAGAGAGAGAGAGAGACAGAGAGAACAGACAGACACAGAGAGACATTGGGTTTGGTTGACGAATAGGTACCTGCAGCAGCAGTGTCTGTAGCAATACTTCCAGCAGTAGTAGAGAGAGGTGGCAATACAGAGGAGACAGATGGTAGATCCTCCTACTAGCAGAGCCCACTGCTCCACTTGTCTCTCCCCTAGTAAACCCTCTGGGCCTTCTGACTCCTGGGCCTCCTCTGTGAGTAGACCATAGATAGACCCACATTCAATCATGCTCACATACATTCACACAAAATTGTGCATACAAGCACTACCCAACCCAAGTAGTTGTGATGGCAAAGTTGAATTTTGTGAAATAATATTTTTTATATGTATTGTATGGATAGTTGTGATCAACAAAGAAAGGGAACCAGAGAGGGGAAATACCAGGATGTGTGGGATAGAAGGAGAGAGAGAAACAGAGACAGACAAACAAGAGAGAGAGCGAGAGAGAGAGAGAGTACCTGTACTTTCATTAATCCTGGTATCTGTACAATGCTCCAGCACTCCAGAGGGAAAGGTGATGAATTTACAGCAGAGCTGACTGTCCTCCAACACAGCGCTACCTCTCAGGCTGAGCGTGTAACTGCCGCTTGAGGTACTACCCTCGATCTCCACAGTATCGTTGTACTCTGGGGCCACGTAGGTACCTTAATGGCATATATTATATTATTAATATACAGTACCAGTCAAAGGTTTGGACACACCTACTCATTCTAGGGTTTTTCTATATTTTTTTCTATTTTCTACATTGTAGAATAACAGTGAAGACATCAACACTATGAAATAAACATATGGAATCATGTAGTAACCCAAAAAGTGTTAAACAAATCAAAATATATTTTATATTTGAGATTTTTCAAAGTAGCCCCCCTTTGCCTTGATGACAACTTTGCACATTCTGCAATAGTCAAAGTAAAAGCAATTAATGAGTATTATTATATTATTATTATATTAAGTACCGAATATGGGATGGAAGATGCCCAGTTTCAGTCTGGTGGTGGTGTGGTGTGTACTGTTGGTCATCTCCCAGTTGATCTGAGAAACAGTGTCATTGTCCCCCATGAGACGACAGGTGATAGATAGATGATATCCATCCCATGTGTGAGATACAGAAATCCCACTGTCTGTCATGCCTGTGTGAAGTAATAAAGTAGACGTTTTTGCATCAAAGTTGTGTAGGCGCTAGTAAAAATGACAGCCACTTCCAGTGAAATAATGCTGAAACCATGTTTTTGTGGATCATACATTAAAAACACACTAATACACACTCACACATATTCAGACAGTGGTGTAAAGTACTTAAGTAAAAATACTTTAAAGTACTACTTAAGTCGTTATTTTGGGTATCTGTACTTTACTATTTATATATGTTTGACAACTTTTACCTTTACTCCACTACTTTCCTTAAGAAAATACACTGAGTATACAAAATATTAAGAACACCGTCCTAATATTGAAAGCGTTCTACAGGGATGCTGGCCCATGTTGATTTAAATGCATTCCACGGTTGTGTCAAGTTGGCTGGATGTCCTGGATTTATCAAGTGACATCAATAAGGGATCATAGCTTTCACCTGGATTCGCCTGGTCAGTCTATGTCATGGAAAGAGTATGTATCTATAATGACCGAAAGGTCGCTGGTTCTAATTCCCGAGCCGACTAGGTGAAAAATCTGTCGATGTGCCCTTGAGCAAGGCACTTAACCCTAATTGCTCCTGTAAGTTGCTCTGGATAAGAGCGTCTGCTAAATGACTATAAATTAAATGAAATAATGTTTTGTACACTCAGTGTATATACTTTTTACTCCATACATTTTCCCTGGCACCCAAAAGTACTTGTTACATTTCGAATGCTCAGGCAGGACAGCAATATGGCCCAATTCACGCACCTATCAGTATAACGCGTTGTTATCCCTAATGCCTCAAATCTGGCGGACTCACTAAACACAAATACTGCATTTGTAAATTATGTCTGAGTGTTAGTGTGTCTGTAAATCCCAAAAAAAATATGAAAATTGTGCCGTCTCGTTTGCTTAATATAAGGAATTTGATGTATAGCATTTACTTTTACTTTGTACTTTTATTCAAGTATGACAATTGAGTACTTTTTCCACCTCTGTACTTACATTTAAAACTAGATACTTTGAGACTTTTACTCAAGTAGTATTTTACTGAGTGACTTTCACATTTACTTGAGTCATTTTCTATTAAGGTATCTTTACTTTTACTCAAGTATGACAATTGAGTACAATTCTTTAGGGGGTAGATCAGCTTTAAAATTGCAGATAGATTGTAACTTCCATCAATGTAATTGTCTGCATAACTTCCAATCCCCCATATGTTTTTTTCTCACAAATATATACAGTGGGGAGAACAAGTATTTGATACACTGCCGATTTTGCAGGTTTTCCTACTTACAAAGCATGTAGAGGTCTGTAATTTTTATCATAGGTACACTTCAACTGTGAGAGACGGACTCTAAAACAAAAATCCAGAAAATCACATTGTATGATTTTTAAGTAATTAATTTGCATTTTATTGCATGACATAAGTATTTGATACATCCGAAAAGCAGAACTTAATATTTGGTACAGAAACCTTTGTTTGCAATTACAGAGATCATACGTTTCCTGTAGGTCTTCACCAGGTTTGCACACACTGCAGCAGGGATTTTGGCCCACTCCTCCATACAGACCTTCTCCAGATCCTTCAGGTTTTGGGGCTATCGCTGGGCAATATGGACTTTCAGCTCCTTCCAAAGATTTTCTATTGGGTTCAGGTCTGGAGACTGGCTAGGCCACTCCAGGACCTTGAGATGCTTCTTACGGAGCCACTCCTTAGTTGCCCTGGCTGTGTGTTTCGGGTCGTTGTTATGCTGGAAGACCCAGCCACGACCCATCTTCAATGCTCTTACTGAGGGAAGGAGGTTGTTGGCCAAGATCTCGCGATACATGGCCCCATCCATCCTCTCCTCAATACGGTGCAGTCGTCCTGTCCCCTTTGCAGAAAATCATCCCCAAAGAATGATGTTTCCACCTCCATGCTTCACAGTTGGGATGGTGTTCTTGGGGTTGTACTCATCCTTCTTCTTCCTCCAAACACGGTGAGTGGAGTTTAGACCAAAAAGCTCTATTTCTGTCTCATCAGACCACATGACCTTCTCCCATTCCTCCTCTGAATCATCCAGATGGTCATTGGCAAACTTCAAACGGGCCTGGACATGCGCTGGCTTGAGCAGGGGGACCTTGCGTGCGCTACACGATTTTAATCCATGACGGCGTAGTGTGTTACTAATGGTTTTCTTTGAGACTGTGGTCCCAGCTCTCTTCAGGTCATTGACCAGGTCCTGCCGTTTAGTTCTGGGCTGATCCCTCACCTTCCTCATGATCATTGATGCCCCACAAGGTGAGATCTTGCATGGAGCCCCAGACCGAGGGTGATTGACCGTCATCTTGAACTTCTTCCATTTTCTAATAATTGCGCCAACAGTTGTTGCCTTCTCACCAAGCTGCTTGCCTAATGTCCTGTAGCCCATCCCAGCCTTGTGCAGGTCTACAATTTTATCCCTGATGTCCTTACACATCTCTCTGGTCTTGGCCATTGTGGAGAGGTTGGAGTCTGTTTGATTGAGTGTGTGGACAGGTGTCTTTTATACAGGTAATGAGTTCAAACAGGTGCAGTTAATACAGGTAATGAGTAGAAAACAGGAGGGCTTCTTAAAGAAAAACTAACAGGTCTGTGAGAGCCGGAATTCTTACTGGTTGGTAGGTGATCAAATACTTATGTCATGCAATAAAATGCAAATGAATTACTTAAAAATCATACAATGTGATTTTCTGGATTTTTGTTTTAGATTCCGTCTCTCACAGTTGAAGTGTACCTATGATAAAAAATTACAGACCTCTACATGCTTTGTAAGTAGGAAAACCTGCAAAATCGGCAGTGTATCAAATACTTGTTCTCCCCACTGTATATATACACATATACATACATATACACATACATACATATAAATACATATACATACATATATATATATATATATACATCCTTTAAAAAATTAATATTTCCCTTTATTACTTTCCAACCCCACCACCCCTTCCCTATTTGCAGTAAACTAGTGAACAACAATGCTTAGGCCTCTACTTCCAGCTTATACATACTATATACATTTTATGGACACAGTCAATTCTACAATAATTATATTTTGTTTGTTTTTACTCCTGAACTTCCTCTACCCTCAACCTTCTTCGATCATTTTCATGATGTCCATCCGGTTTGCTTCTATATGCCATATCTAACTGTGCTCTTTCACAAAAGCTGATTTCACAATTGAGTACATTCAGACATGCATGCACAAACGCGCACAAACGCACACACACAAAGGTCGAAACCTGTAATATCCCTTTCTTTTTGCCGAAACCTTACACTTTTTAAATCAGCTGGATGTGTATTACCCTACCTTGAACTATTAAAATAGGTTTTAGTACTGCATAACCATACCAATGCAATGTAATGAAACCTTGGGTTTTTGAGGACCACAATGGAAATAAGTATTTTTTTTTTCATCCTAAATTATTATATTAATGCCGTTTTTGCTATGTGTGTTTCTGCTAAACTAAAACTTGAATCTTATCCTAGATGAGTTAGTCTAACCCACCTGTCTGTATCAGCACGAAGACCAGAAGAGTGTAGACACAGCGTTTTCTCATATCTGACTCTGTCATCTGCCACAATGTTCAGTCTTCTCTTTTCCTCTTCACTTGTTGTCTTTTTGTTGTGTTTTCCAGTTCAGTTTCATCTGTTAGCTTTTTTACCACTCTCCTTTTTTTCACTCCACCATAATTATTTTCATTTGTTCATTCCGTGTTTCTCTGAGTAAATCTCTGTATTCACACCAATTTTCTGTCTCTGACTCACAACTCTCAACTTCCTCTTTCCAAACACTTTCGGCCTAAGCACTTTTAATATGATTTCTCTCTCACTCTCACTCTCTCTCTCTCTCTCTCTCTCTCTCTCTCTCTCTCTCTCTCTCTCTCTCTCTCTCTCTCTCTCTCTCTCTCTCTCTCTCTCTCTCTCTCTCTCTCTCTCAAAAGGAAGAGGAAGTGAAGTGAGGTGAAGAGAGTAGCATAGAGCTGCCGAGCTCATCATATTTTTTCTTTTTTTTTCTTCTTACGTGTTCATGTGTTACTTGGGTTTTTCCATTCTGCTTTCATTTTAATCACACACACGTGCACACACACACACACACACACACATGGTCTTGCGCAGCTAACCTTGTTGGGACATACAATTCAGTCACATTCAAAATCCTATTTTCCCTAACCCCTAACCCTAACCCTAACCCGTACCCTTACCCTAACCCAAACCCTAACCCAAAAACCTAACCTTAACCCTAACCTTAAACCTAACCCTGGCTCCTAACCCTAAAACTAACCCTATCTCCTAACCCTAAACCTAATTCTAACCCTAACACTAATTCTAACCTTAACCCTAAACCCCCTAGAAATAGCATTTGACCACAAAATGTCCCCAGTTGGTCAAATTGTTATTGGTTTACTATTCTTCTGGTCCCCTCAAGTATAGTTAAACACGTCCATGCACACACACACACACACATACACACACGAACACGCACACACACACACTGATTCAATGAAGCCTGAAACACAGACATTATAGAACCGTGAGGTTCGTGTAGCTGAATAGACAGTACCCTAAAGAAACCAGAAACCTATGACATATCGAGTGGCGCAGTGGTCTAAGGCACTGCATTGCAGTGCTAGCTGTGCCACTAGAGATCCTGGTTCGAATCCAAGCTCTGTCGTTGCCGGCCGCGACCGGGAGACCCATGGGGCGGCGCACAATTGGTCCAGGGTAGGGGAGGGAATGGCCAGCAGGGATGTAGCTCAGTTGGTAGAGCATGGCGTTTGCAACGCCAGGGTTGTGGGTTCAATTCCCACGGGGGGCCAGTAAAATAAAAATAATGTATGCACTCACTAACTGTAAGTCGCTCTGGATAAGAGCGTCTGCTAAATGACTAAAATGTAAATGTATATCCTATCACTAATTAGGATGCAGCTTTGGATCTCTTGATGTGGTTTGGACAGAAGTTATACTGTAAGGCACAATCTGGGCTCTTTCCTGCTGTTCATGGTCATTTCAATTATGATACATACAGGGCCAGTTCCAAGCATAAGCAACATAATTTTGGGGGGGGGACTCAGTTGGGGTCTCAACTTTCTATTGATAGTAAGAATATTAGAATATACCAGGTGCAATTTCGAAATTTGGCTGTGCATCAGCAGTTTCTCTTGTTATGTCAGTCACTGACAGTCACTTAATAAAACATGTCAGCTAAAATGTGTTAGATTGGTAGTTAGTCTAGCCAGCTTTCTAAACTTGTAGTAATCATGGTCGAATACCGACCGGGCACTCAGGGCGTCCAGGGGGCCAACATAGATTTTTTTTAAAAGAACAAATTCTTATTTACAATGACGGCCTAACCCGGACGCCGCTGGGCCAATTGTGCGCCGCCCTATGGGACTCCCGATCACGGCCGGTTGAGATACAGCCCGGGATCGAACCAGGGTCTGCAGTGACGCCTCTAGCACTGAGATGCAGTGCCTTAGACCATGCGATTAAGGGAGAGATAGCCTACCTTTTCATGGTTGTTTGATCAATAGGACTGTGAAGTTCCCAAATGCAAGATGACTCCTGTGGTATTAACATATTTGCAGAAATCCATTCAGGTGTATTTTGTGTTTTTTGGCGAATGCGATCTAATGATCTAAAGTTGCGCTGTTGATGTAGCCTGTAAACACAGTCCAGTTCAAAGTGAATGGTGCCAGGCCAGTGTGGCAAATAGCTTATTTGCATATACTGTAGGCCTACTGTAGCTCTGATAAGGCTATGGTGCAAAGGTCTGCATAGACTCCGGTCCTGTTTTATTTACTGCAGTGTCTACTACTTGACCAAACGCACTGCCACTTTCCCACTCTATACACACACACACACACACACTACACACACTACATTTTCACAAATGGCTTACTATATGGCATTCCCAAACATTCTCTGAATTTGTGAAAACGTGAAAATGTGCTTGCTTGTCAGAAAATGTAATAATAAAACATTTGGGGATGTATATGAACAGATCTTAATAAGATTTCATGTTCCACTTAACTTTAACACACTATGATGTCACCATGGTGCGTGCGTGCGTGCGTGCGTGCGTGCGTGCGTGCGTGTGTGTCTTCTCCCACTGGGCTCTTCTATTAAATATTAATCGCATGGAAATGTCAAACATGAACATCAAATCACTCACCACCAGAGAGCAGACTGAGCTGCACCACCACCACCACCAGCAGCAGCAGCATGTATCTGTGCCATTGGATGTTTCCTCCATAGAGATAGATAGAGGACTCATCTTTGTATCTGTGCCATTGTAGCGTCTGTGTGACAGCATTGGCAGCGCCATTGAGGCAATCTCCATTTTGAATGAGTCCGTTTTCTTCTACACGGTTGGCTGATCCCTCATGATGACCCGGTTGGATATGACTCCAACAGGGTCACCAGGAGGGATCAGCCAATGAAGTTGGAAGTCTCACCCAGTTGACTACATTAAAATGGTGGAAGCACTCAATGGCACTGCCCATGCTCATACAGTGTTTTGGCCACTAGAGGCCTCTATCACTCTCTATGGTTTCATCACACCAGACCTGGGACCAAATACTATTTGTAATCTTTCAAATAGGTTTTGCGTTTGCTCTATCCTGACTGGAGTGACAGATAGGAGGGGTTTCTAGTTTTAGGATATTTTATCGGTTCCATTAAGCTAGGCAAGCTCAGTCAAGCACAGATAAAGTAATTTGAAATTATTTAGAATAGTATTTGAACACTGGTTCAGTATTTTTAGCTCTGCACAGCACACTTCAGATAGATGATAGATATAGATGCCTGTAGCCTTCCTACACACTGGGTTTGCGTCCCAAGTGGCACCATATGCCCTATATAGTGCCCTACTTTTGACCAGAGCCGTGTAGGCCCTGGTCAAAAGTAGTGCACTATTTAGGGAATAGGGTGCCATTTGGGACGTAGCCCCAGTGGCTTTGGCCTTCATCCCCTAGATGACTCTTTGTCTTCCTGTGTTCTGTAGATTGATCTGAACTCTGTGTGTGTGTGTGTGCGCGCGCGTAATCGTGCGTGTGTGCGTGCGTACGTGTGATTCTTCAGGCGGCCCTGAAGCAAAGTCAGTTACAGACAGAGGAGAGCTTCTGTGTGTCGCTGCCCGCTGTTGTCCTCCAGGATCACAGCAGCCAATCAGATCGCAGGGCCGGGAAACAGCAGCCAATCAGATCGCAGGGCTGGGGTGTCAAGGTTACAATGGGGTGGAATGTTGAGATGAGTGCTGTGCTGTCTGCAGTGAGAGAGGTGCTGGAACCTGTTCTGGAGTGCCGTCAAAGTTCCGTCAACGTTCCACCAACACTCTGCTAACATTCCATTTCTATTTGATATTGTTGTGGTAAATAAGACTAGGTTGTGTTTTTGTGCAAAGCCTCTCATAGTACACTATTAGAAAAGAAAGTGCTATCTAGAAGCTAAAGAACCCTTTTTGGTTCCAGGTAGAACTATTTTGGGTCCCAATGCTTTTTGCATTCTCTTTTTTACCTCTCATTGTTGCTCTGAGTATTCCCAGAATCAACACAGAACACAAGAAAATAAAGGAGGATTATTAAAAGCGGAACTATATGCACTACTACTCATCATTTAACAAAAGCTCTCACACTAATTGTATACACCCCTCTCCCGTCGCCCTAACCCCTTCTTAACCCTTTCACCCCGCCCCATCATCGTTGTGCCCCTAACCCCTTCTTAACCCTTTCACCCCGCCCCATCCTCGTTGTGCCCCTAACCCCTTCTTAACCCTTTCACCCCGCCCCATCCTCGTTGTGCCCCTAACCCCTTCTTAACCCTTTCACCCCGCCCCATCCTCGTTGTGCCCCTAACCCCTTCTTAACCCTTTCACCCCCGCCCCATCCTCGTTGTGCCCCTAACCCCTTCTTAACCCTTTCACCCCGCCCCATCCTCGTTGTGCCCCTAACCCCTTCTTAACCCTTTCACCCCGCCCCATCCTCGTTGTGCCCCTAACCCCTTCTTAACCCTTTCACCCCGCCCCATCCTCGTTGTGCCTCCTAACCCTCTTTATGCCTCTCTTCACACCACCCTCCTGTTCATCCACACACACACACACATGCTATTTCTCTGTAAACAAATTAACAACAGACTTTCAGCATGTTTATAGAGAAAGGCACTCAACATGTACTGCCCTGACACAAATGACTGATGACTGGTTGAAAGAAATTGATATTATTGACCATAACCTGTTGTTGAAAAAATGTATGTGTTATGACTTTTCAACATTTGCCATAAAGATGGATTCAGGTATGTGAACACCTGCTCCATATCAATGCCCAAAATTATGGGCATTAATATGGAGTTGGTCCCCCCTTTGCTGCTATAACAGCCTCCACTCTTCTGGGAAGGCCTTCCACTGTTGGAACATTGCTGCGGGGACTTGCTTTAATTCAGCCACAAGAGCATTAGTGAGGTCGGGCACTGATGTTGGGCGATTAGGCCTGGCTCACAGTCGGCATTCCAATTCATCCCAAAGGTGTTCAATGGGGTTGAGGTCAGGGCTTTGTGCAGGCCAGTCAATTTCTTCCAT